CACTGAACATACTCAGTGTATGATCGCTGGAACTGAAAATACAGAAACAAAATTACATCGATAGATAAAAGGGATTATCATCAAATCACTGAGAGAGAGAATCAACAGAAGACAATTAAAATGTTTATGTACTTCAAACAGTGTCACAGTCTTTCCACAAAGAAAACTTTCATACTGCCTTACTAAGTTAATCTTCCTTGATTCTTGAACCTGAGAGGTTCCTTCATATTGAACACATAAAGTGTCCCACATGGATTTAGAGGTTCTGAGTTTCATCACAAAGTGATAAACCTCATCAGGAAGACACATAGCTATTATAGACCTAGCACGAGTGTCTATGGCTATTTTTTCTTGTCTCCATCGCTCCATTGGTGAGGGAGCTTTGGAATCTACCATTCAGGATCATAGCAGTCGTAGTTGTTTCAGGAATAGCCAGAGAAATAGAAAATGGTACATATGGTCCATTTTCTATGTAGTGTGGAATTTCAGGATCTACACTTTCCAGTAAAAGGGGGGAGGTTTGGCAAGAGAGCCATTATCTTGAAATAGCAAATGGTATATATGGTCCATTGTCTCGGATAAATCGGGGAGGTTTGGCAAGAGAGTCATTGTCTTGAAAGTGTGTGTTTCTGTTTTGTAAAGCCATTTTAAAAGCAAAAAACTTATTTAAATAAGGAGATAATATAGTGCAGAAAACAACTAAACACCTGGAGAAAATAAAACATTGCTATGATACCACTTGTTGGTCCCGTTAGGGTCTACAAGATGTGTACAACAATTTGTAGAAGGGGGATGAATACAAACACAGAAACTTTTCAAATTTAAAATATATATTGATAAGAAAGAATCAATACAGATTTTACAAGATTGTTTGCAGAAAGTTAAAGTAAATAAAACCTATCTAAACAATCTAAAGTTACACACTAATTCTTAGCAAATAAAGAAAGGATTTGCTGTAAAAGACTTAGAGGAAAGTAAGTTCTATCCAGGAAATAACTATTTAGAATATAACAAAGAGATTCTAACTTGCTCTTGAAGATGAGCGTGTTTTTTCTTAGATGTGTGTGTTCTTTCACTTAAGTGTAAGCAAGTTCAGAGTAAGGAGTAAGAGTATATTTCTGCACGGAGATAGAACACATCTATTTATATCCATTGCATTAAATGCACATGTAATGCAACGTGGTAGGGTTAGAAGCGTGTCAAGCCTTAATAGGAAGGTTTGTCCTTTGCTACAGTGAATAGTACAAAAAGTCTATTCATGAGCAGACATCCTTTCACAAAGTTGGTGGATAATAGAGTCAACTAGTCAGCTCTGTACCGTACTAACATTTAGAAAGGGTATGGGTTTGTCCTTTGTGTATGTAAGGACAAGACAAAAACAATCGCGCTCAAAAAGCTTCTTCTGATAGTTGAATGCTGGAATAACTTGAAGGTCTCTTCAGCATTCGCTGAGGCTTGGGCAGTCCTCACACATATATAGACAAGGCTGTAATCACTGAATACCGCTTTAGATCACGTACTCACCAGTCTCTAATCTTAATTTTCAGCTTTCGAATTTTGCTGAAGGTTCTTTGGTGTGAGTTTTGTCTTCTTGAAGTATCGTTGTCGCTGATTGGATTTACATTACAAATTCTTCAGCGATCACTGAACAGATTCAGTGATGATCGCTGGAACTGGAAACATAAACATAAATACTTCGAGTAAGGTAAAAGGGATTATCATCAAATCAATGAGAGAGAGGATCAACATATACCGCCGATCGAAGGGTATAAAAAGGATGGTGCATGGTAACCATGAGAAAAAAATTCATCGTCAAGGAGAGCTAGTGGACGTTGGAGAAGAAGACGAAGGTTCGTTACAACGCGTCTAGTTCGACATTAATTGGTAAGCCACTCGTATCTTTCGTCTCCTAGTCGTTCGATCATCCGGGTTGTTTTCCGTAGTGCAACGGTGGCAAATGGTCACCGCTCACCTCTATCGTTCGTCACAACGGTAATCCTCGTCACACCGAGTTGTTCAATTGTGACCCTCATTTTGGTTCTAAAAGATAGAATTTGTGACACGTGTGTGTGTCAGTCAAATATATATATATATATATATATATATATAATGGATGGTTGGCGTTTAACCGTTGTGATGGATCGAATGGTACCTTGAGAACTCGTCGTCGTTACAGATTCCTTAGGCATGATCAAACTTTCGGTGGTGACTTTTTTTGAAAGAAAAGGATAAAAATAAAATCAAAACAGTATGTATCAAAGATGTGGTTCACAATAATATATATATATATATATATATATAGCATATACATTTCATGCATGCATGTGTAAGCCATAAGATCATGAATAGTTAATACAAATATATATATATATATATATGTAAGTATATATATATATATATATATATGAATGTTTAGTTTAAAACGCGTCGAAGCTAGGGACGTCGGCACCTGGATTGCAAAATAAATTAAAAAATAGTGTCAAGGGGACCACTCGATCATCTTTGATTATCGTAGGTACTGGAATCATATGCAAGCTTGCTACTTCAAGGATCGGTTCATGCAACGACTTATACGGTGAGTTATACATGATTTTCCAAAAATTGGTTGCACATTTTATTTACAATTATATGCAAGCTTGCTGGAATTTTCTCGATATATTTGAATATCATGTATGTGTAAAATGTACCTCATTTTATAAAATATGTTGTGTGGAAATGAGGGTTGTACTATGGTATGATTCGGTAAAGACAAGCATGCTTTGTGAGCTTGTCTAAGCCGTAAGTGCGGACATGTTGTGTGAGTTCGCCAGGTAATGTTGTGTGAAGTGGTCATCTACCATAATGCCACTAGCTTTGTGAAATATGTTGTTTAAACCATATGCATGATAAATTATGACGTTTTGTGATATCTATTTTTTTTACCTTGTGTATACATTAAAACCGTTAATTCACTGGGCACTTGGCTCACCCAACTCCTTTAAAAAACAATTATGCAATCAGGTCGTCTCACACATGTGAATAGTAGCAAGGGAAAGGAGAAAGTTTAGAACCGGCTATCACGGAATAAAGGCTTGGCGTGGAGACTATCCGAGACTTTGATATGAATATAATTAGGCAAATGTTCCTTTAAGGCTTATTAGTTTAAAAAAAAAACTTCTATTACGTTAAACTACTCAAACCTTATGGCTTATTTATACATGTATGTTTATTAGGAAAAAAAATTGGCTCTTTATAGTGGTCTCTCTCTAAACAAAATAAAGTCCTACCATTTCAAAACATTGTTTGTGAAAATTCAAAGATACCACAAAACACGCCCTTATATGAATGTTTGCTTTAGTTTTTGTCATTTTGATGTATTATTAAACATTAAAAAAATTATTTATATAATACAACGAAATACATTTTGATTTTAATGTTTTATTTTATAGTATGATTTTGTATAGCTTTATAAAAATAATAATTTTTTATATTTAAATAAA